TCAAAGATGTTGAAAGTACAAAGAGAGTTATGTTGCAACTTCTGAAAATCCGAAAAGAATTAGTGGAAGAAGATGTTTATGCAATTTGCAACTACAAAGTGGAAAGAAATCTTAGTAAATATGGATCTGCAATTATCAAATACAAAATAATTTTGCATAGAGAAACAAAAATCATAGCCAACCCAACCTATTTCTCTATTTTCCGTTTTGATTTTTGAAATGTTGCAACATTTTGTGATGTGGAAAATGTCGATGAGTCTTAACTTTTCGATAAGAATAACTTTCGAATATATTCATTATCATATCTAACAATGATTAAATAAATATTTTTTTATTTCTTATGAATGTAGATGTCATTGGGTTGGTAGTAGAAATTCAACAAGTGCAATTCAAGCAAGTTACACGACAACATACCCAAATGATTGACTTTACTCTTCTCGATTTGGAGTAAGTATTTGCATAAAGGTATTTAATTGTTATATACATTTAAGAAAAAATTATTAGTTTGAAATTATTATTTTATCTATTATAGGGACAATACTATTAATCTTGAGAGTCGTTATAAATGCAAAGGCTATCCATGAGTTCTCATAATGTAGTTAGTAGAGCAAGATTGTGTGGTAGTAGTATTAAAAAATTAAAGTGTTATAAATTTTGATATTTTTTAATTTGTTTTTTTATATATAATAATTTGGTGGAGCAAGGATGTGGGTTGGTTGTATTAAAAACCAATAATGTTATGTACAAAGAGATTTTTAACAATGTATGACTTTTTTATGACGAATATTTTAGATCAAGTGACAAATGCTCTACGTATTATACGTTATTGATTAATAACCTTCAATTTATAAATTTTACCAAAATAAATATAGTCCGTGCATCGCACGGGTTAATACTAATAATAATATAAGATGATAGTTATATATGCCCTTAATGATATAAGAAACAAATGAATAAAATGATATAAATAGAAAGGGTAAGATATATATACTTTTTATAATTTTAGAACTCAGCATGGATAAAGTTCAGACTACATGGATTATCGTGAACCACCAGAATTTGACATGTAGGATTACGGAACATTCAGAAGTTGACACGTAGAATTACGTGCGAATTAAACACCCAAAATCAACACATAAACTTGAGAAAATTGTACGTTCGATCAATGTGTAGGATGGATATTATATAATAATATGACTGAAAAATATACTGTTGAGTAATGATAGTTAACTAGAATCGTTCGATAAATCTTGTGTAGCTCAATCGATCAAAGTATATGAAATATTATCATGTCTAGTAGTGTAGCAAAAGTATGTCATATATATATAATCAAAATTGTATATACATATCTTAATTCAACATACAAACAACTATACAAATTTATCTAATCATTAATATTAAATGTACATATATGTACGCTTAAATAAATGCAGCTGATCATACCTTAATATCAATTTTTTTTTAATAATCTAACTAACTTAAATAAAAATATAATATTTTATAATATAAGTATGTACGCTTGTTCAGAAAGCACAATTTTGATAATCAGACCGAACCGACAGTTGATAAATATCTCGAACGGGGGGTAAAAAACTGACCCGTCGGACCAATTATTATTATTTTCATAAAAAAATTAGTTTTATCATTTTGTAATATATAACGAATATAAATATAAATATTCAAATATTTTATATATGTCTAAAATTGCTTTATCAATGATTTTCGACATTTAAATATTCTAAATTAACAAAATATTTAACAAAAATTTGTTACTTATTATGCATCAAACATCAATCCAACCGAGTTGAACCAGTAATCCGATCAATTAACCAATAGCTTAACTGATAATTCTCAAAATTTTGCCAAAAAATATATTAAGTTGACCTACCTAACAATTAGATTGGTTTACGACCAGTTTTGTGTAAATACTAAAAGCACGTACACGTCAGTATTTTTATGAAGTCATCAGATAACACAACGGTTTTTCGCGCATGTGTATAGTATTTGTTTTGGTAAATGATTGAAAAATAACGATGTCAAACTTTGAACATCGATGTCTTTATTTAATTATTTTTCAGTCAAAATGCATTTAAAAGAAAATGAAGAAAAAAAGAATTCAGCTGCATTTTCTTAGAATGTTTTTTTTTTTTTTTTT